TTTTTTTTTTTTTTTTTTTTTTTTTTTTTTTTTTTTTTTTTCTATACCTAATTTATTGCCCCATTTGAAATTACATCCAAGGCGAATGACTTCCACTTAAGGAGGAAGTTTTGTTTTTTGTGGCTCCTCTTTGTTGCCCTTGCGTTTTTTTTTTGCCTCCATTTTGCCCCCCGTTTGCTGCTATATTTCTTGCACCTTTCTATTTGTACCTTTTTCCACTGCACCTACAATGTCAAAGGGTAACAGTAAATACATGATAGACCCCATAAGCGTGAAGACCGCTTGCACCAGTGAGGAGTCCTACATTCGCTGTGTTGAGTATGGAAAGTCCAAGGCACATTACCCGAATTTGTCGCTGCTGGCCAAGGCCATCTTGGCTGGCCTCTTCGTTGGCGTATGTGCGCACGCCTCAGGGATAGCAGGTTGATAATGCTCGAGGGGAGAGTCATAAAGAGAGAGAGGATTGAAGTGGGGACGCGCAGCATGGACACACAATCGTGAGCTCAACCCCCGTTTGTTGCACTTGGCGCGCGTCTGAGTTGGGTCGCCTACATGTGCTAACCGGCTAGTCGGCTAAAACGTGTTACACGTGTTACATGTGCCCGTATGACACCCCCTCCCCATTACAGGCGGCCACTTTTACTACCACAAGCTACGCGAATACGTGGGCATCTCCATGAGCGCATTCGTATACGGGTTCACCTTTCCAATAGCTTTCTTATGCATTATAGCGACTGGCTCGGACCTTTTCACAGGGAACACCCTGGCCGTGACAACAGCTTTGCTTCAAAGGAAAGTCAGCGTATTAGAATATTTAAGAGTAATGACTATCTCTCTCTTTGGTAACTACATAGGAGCAGTATCCTTTGCCTTTTTCGTTTCACACCTATCAGGGGCCTTCAAAGAGCATGACGATATAAATAAGAATCACATTTTTCAATTTTTAAATGATATTGCAGTGAAGAAAGTGAACCACACCTTTATCCAATGCATATGTTTAGCCATTGGATGTAACATCTTTGTTTGTTTAGCTGTGTATTTTGTACTCACCATTAAGGACGGGTCCGGCATGGTCTTTAGTGTATTTTTCGCTGTCTACGCATTTGCCATTGCAGGATATGAGCATATCATCGCCAATATGTATACACTTAACCTCGCGCTCATGATTAAGGCTAAGGTGACCTGGTCCAGTGTGTACATAAATAACTTACTGCCGACGCTGATTGGAAATTATGTAAGTGGACCAGGAGGAGAGGCCACATGAGGGTAGCCCAGCGGGGATAACCTTTTCGTGTGTGTCTTGCGAAACAGAGAGTCATTTGGAAGAGATCATTCTTTTCACGGCGCAAAGGTTGCAGTTGCTTCGAGCACCACATTTAATTATGTTTATGTCGCGTTCCCCTTTTACAGATTGCTGGTGCGCTTGTTCTCGCATGCCCCCTGTTTTACATTTACCGCCATAGCTATAGGGACTACGAGAAGACACGTGGCAGTGGGGCCAACTTTGGGTTGAGAAGGTAAAGCCAGGACAGCCAACCGGTTGTTTCGTGTCCCTCCCCGGGACCGCTGCACCTCCATGTGTATGTATACATATATGTATGTATATATGTTTCGCCTGTACCATTTTATCCCCACATAACATTACACACGCGTTTATAAATACATCCCTCCCACTTGTCCCCCCTTCGATGCAGCCTCTCGATTGAAATGCAAAACGGTAGCTAATGGCAAGTGACATGGACACAAAAACACCCCTAGCGCACTGTGCACCCGTCTGTGCACTCGTCTGTGTACCCTTGGAAGGATATTTTGTTTAACCCTTTATCCCCCCTCCCCCCTCTTTTCCTCCTTATTCCATCTCTTCCTCTTCCATCTCCACCTCTTCTTCGTCACATGAATGCATGTGTGCAATTTCCAGCACGTGTGCAGAAATGCATAGTACATAATATATAATTTGCGTTCAAAATACATGTGCTTTTTCTCCATCCCCAAATTTGTTTCATGCACACATATGTCTATAATAACGTTATCTGTGTACCTTGTGAAATTATAATTCATGTTTATTCATTTTTAATTGATTTTGTAGCTGGTTTGTTTTTTTCCTTTTGTTGGCTTAATTTTTTTTTTTACCACTTCGCTGCTGAACATTTGCGTTGCACACCGAATTATTTCTCCTCTCTCCGTACACCATATCCTGTCCATCCTTTCCTCTGCCCCTTTTTCGGTGTGGAACATTTTTATGAACATTATTGAATTGTAGAAAATAAGTATGACTCATTTTTTTTTTACTTTTTTTGTGCCAAGAACAGTTACACCCGGCGAATGGCGCGCAACTGGGCGTTTTATTTTATTTTATTTTTTTTTTCACACTCACTGGGAAAAGCACTCCCCTAACTAAGCGACGGGATCGTGAGGTCGTGAAAAATGAGGACCCTTCAATTTGCCTGAACAGTTCAGGCGCGTTTGCGGTTAAACGTTTTGCAGCTCTGAGTAGTGCAGTCTGTGCGGGCGGGTGCGCGAACAGAAAAAAAAAAAACAAAAAAAAACGGGATACTCTCCGTGGGAATTCCAACACGAGTGAAAGGACGCATACGCGAATACGCTGTGGCACGTGCAACAGTAACTGTACATACACACATTTGCACGTGGCGGGTTAGGGCTTGCCCGCGCAGGGCAACACGAGCGTGCGGACCTTGGTAGAGAGCACAGCGTGCGAATTGCGTGTGCGCTCGGTCAGGTCGTCCACTACAGCAAAGTTCCGACTGTAGCTCTCGAGCGTGTCCTGAATGAGCTTGGCGATGGAGTCAATTTCTTGGGCTTCCCTATCAGCCTGCCTGTTCAGCTGGTCTATTTGTTCATACAATTGATTGACTTTTTTCTCCACAACGAGTACGTTTTTTTCCTCTCCTTCAACTTTGGCATTCCACTTGGCCTTTTGCTCAGCAAAATACTGCTCTGTGTCACGCAAAATTTTTTCCTGATCCTTCTTCCTCATGGTTAAATTATCCTTATCACCTTTCAACGTCTTCAAGTGCTTTTCCAAATTTTTTAACTCCTCCTTTTTTTGTATGTGATATTTTATTGTATCGTTAAAATGGCTAGTCAACGAGGTTAACAGCTCTACAAGTTTTTTCAAACATAAGTCCGCCACGTTTATTTTATTTTTAATTTCTTCATTTTTTTTCTTATCGGATTCGAAGTAAGACATGTGTTGTAGGAGGAGATTTTTCAACTCCTGATTATATTCTTGTAGCTTTTCAGGTGAAGGGACAATTTGATCTTCCAGGTCTTCTTTTTTTTGTCTGAAGCGAGAAAACTGAAATATCAGTTCATTTGTTTCATTTGCAATTTTGTCTTTTGTCGCTCTTAAAGAAATGATCGTGCTCTGTTGTGCGTTGAGTAAATTCTGGTTATTAATTATTTCTTCTTCGTAATCCCTTTTTTTATTTTTTTCACTAAGGACACTGTTTTTTATTTGTTCAAAATGTTCTAACAGAGATTGTAATTCGTTCTTCACTCCTTTAAGTTCAGAATCCAATGCAAAGTCTTCACTCTTCCCCTCTTGAATTTTTTTAATTTTAATTTCATTGTCCAGGTAAATTTGCTCCTTATACTTGGTGAAGTGAATGAATGCATTTATAAGTCTTGTCATGTGACTGCTCACTGGCTTGAATAAATAACTCAGTGTATTTTCTACACACAAAATTTTATTTATTTGTTCACAGTGGCGAATGAAACGCAAATTTCCAATCGCCTGTAAGTGGTTCTTTCCTTCGTTGGGCAAAATTTGAATGCCGTCAATGGACGGCATGGAACTTTTTAAGTCCCCTGTGAATTCTTCAATACGTATATTGTTAATGTCTTTGTTTAGGATGTGCTTTATACACATACTATACACCCCTTGCATGTCTTCTGTCGTGGGATTTTTCAGAGTCCCCTGCGTTATTTCTACGCCATACTTGCTCATCTCGCTCCGCATTTCCTCAAAGCTGAGTCTGGGCACGACCTCACCCCCGCCGCTCATCGTGGGAAGCACTCAGTTGCAACTTTGTTTATTTGGCGCGTCGTGATTTGGCCGCGTCGAGGTGTGCTGCACTGGTGGAGACCCTTGAAGGGGAAACTGACCGCGCGCCCACCTCGCCAAGCGTCTGGGGCTTTTCGCACAGGCCGTTGCGCAGGCCTCTGCCGTGAAAACAAAAATGGCGGTAACAGTTCCCCCGAAGGGTGAATACTTTTACTTTATCATTTGGTTAATTCGTGTGTTAATTGTTTTTTTTTTTTTTTTTTGCGAGTTATATGTCTACTTGCGCTGCTTGATCACTCCGGAACGAACGCGACACAAAGATGTTTTTCCGTTGGGCCGCCTCTCTCTTCCCCTTTGCAATTTTTTTTTTTTTTTTTTTTTTTTTTTTTCGAGCGATTTTACTTTAAAAAGGGCGAATGCAAACACGCCGCGAGAGAGAGAGCGCTTTGGCAAAGTTAACACATCGGTGAAGCGAATGGGTTTGGAAAAAAATAAATGCGCGAGGGAACTTACTGGCGTGTAAATTTATTTTGAAGTCACTCCTCCTGTGCATACGCCCCAGTGGGTGGTGTGGAAAAGGGGAAGGGGGAACTGCTCTTCACACCGTTGAGGGGAAATAACCCCACTGTGTAATTTTTTTTTTTTTTTTTTTTTCCCGCAAATGCACGCGCGTGCTTGTTCATATTTCAATCTGTATAGGGAACGATGTACAATCACATGTTGCTCACGCAGTGGGTTGTCCCACATGCAACAAAATGGAACGGTCGCCACTCTTTCACCATTGTGTGTTTATGCTTGTGTTGTCACCAAATGGGTGAGTGTTTATGCAATTGTGAGGCCTGGTTGGTAGGCGTGATACGTCCGATAGGTCCATTTGGGGTGAGGACACAACGCCTCCCGTTCTCGCACACATACATATACAAGCGCCCACCCCCTGTTCAAGTCCATAGCGGTGCTTCTTGTACCGCTGCCACGGTGACAAAAATGTATTTTACAAGTGCCTGAGTGCGGCATCACCAGTTGTTAGCTCTCCTCCTCTGCGTGTCACTCGATCATTGGGAAATGTACACAAAGTACCCTCCACCAATAGGAAAGAAAAGAATGGGCACACTTTCCAAGCAGGCAGCCCCTCAAGGGGTGTGTGTGTGGTTATCACATCCAACGTGCACAAAACGCAGTGGAAGTCACCTCCCCAACAAATATGTGCACACCGTTTGTGTTATATAGCACCCCATGTTCGGGTCTCGCTTAGGTGTGGCGAAAAAATGACGCAGGGTATCCTCAAAAAAAAAAAAAAAAAAAAAAAAAAAACGATAACATGGGGAAACACCTGTGTGGAAGCGATGATACATTGTAGCATATAGGTCACTCGCACAAGTGGAATAAAAAAAAAAAAAAAAAAAAAATATATACCACACAAGGCGGCAAAAACACCCCACCAGTTTGTAATCCATTTGACAAATGCTTGGGGACGCCCTTCTCTAAGGATGAACATGGTATGCCTCCTCATGGTGATCTGCTTGGCTCTTTCACACTCTAGTAAAAGTGTCACTGACCACCACACCACAGGCATAAGTGTGACCCTCCAAAGGGGAAGCCAGGTGTGCATAAAAAGAAGGAGAAAAGGTTACAAAGGACATTCCTCCTTCTCCCCCCCGTGGCCTAGCTTAAACTCCAACCACATCACCATCGTAAAGCGACCTGCTAGGCTTCGCAGGTACCTTTTCTTGAACCCCCCACATCCACATAGAAGGAACAAAAATGTTCAAGATGGAGAAAAAAAATGCAGAAATGCAAAAAAGGAGGGAAATAAAATAACCTACCTCTCCACAGCACAGTCTGGAAGTAGGCGCTACTACAAGGGACGTGACCAACATGCAGGCAAAGCATGGTCCATTTTTGCCTTCCACGAGAGGTGTGTAGGGGATGAGGGTGGCATGAGGGGGACGCAGGAAATTTGTGATTCACACCTTGGCCCGGACAACCAGCGTGAAGAAAACGAATTGGTGAGGGAGACAAATGAGGTAGAGGAGGTGAACAAAGGAGAGCGCCCTCCACACCCGAATGAGGAAAATCTGGCCAACGCTATGCAAAGGGCGCAGGCGTACATCAAGGGGAAGCAGGACGATGTGCTGGAAAGGAGAGAAGTGCAGAAGAAGAAAAAGGTAGTGGAGAAGTTAAAACGGCAGGAGGATGTCTTTAGTGAGAAATTTTTAGACCTTGGCATGTACGACGTGTTGAAGCACGTGTATGATGGGGGTCTGTACGCAGACTCGAAGAGCTTGGTGGAGGCCGTGTGCAGCTGGATGCGCAACGCCTACGCGGGGGAAGCCGCCTCAACACCCGTGGTGGGAGCGGCGCAGGGGAAGAAGAGTTCACCGGAGCCGGGTTACATGATGGAGAAGGACCTCGCGGACAACTACAGCCCAGACGGGGGAGAAAAAATTGTAAACCACTTCCGCTTGGACCCCCCAGAGGAGAACAAGACAAGTGCACAAATGGAGTCGCTAAAACTATACAATAAAAAAAATTTAAGAAAATATTTTTTGTCCCTGAACCGAGGCAACATTCTAAAACAGCTGGTGACTGAAGGGGAGGACGAACTTATTCAGGACACTACAGAAAAAAAGTCCCCCCAAAACAGTAACGACGCAAAAGAGGTACCAAACGAACAAGTAAAAAATTTTTTATCCTCCAACAGCATCCTAAGTAGCGACTTGGATTCGTATGTTGATGTGGAGAGGTACTTGAAGTCTAACGTCACCATCGAGTTTAACATATATGATACGTGTAGCGACCGAGTTATTTTGAATAATAAAAATACGAATTCCACCATGTTGGAGTTTCCCCTCATGTACAGTCACCAGATTATACAGAAATGTATTTTAACAATGAAGAAGCTCGAAAAGGCGATATTTTATATTAACAATAATTTTTTGTTTGGTCTTTTTTCTCCTCAAGAGGAACCCATGAACGATGAGGACAAACGTGTGTATGATGTCATTACGAATGAGAGCTGGGTCAAAATGGAAATTTACCTTTGTAACATTTACAGGATGGATGAGCAGTGGCTGGGCATAACCCCAGAAACGTTCGCCGACGAAGCCAAGGCCAGCAGCTTCCTGCAGTCCTACTCGGGGGGCGACGCGGGCAACTTGGTTTGCAAGCCCTCCACATCGAGTGAGAAGCAGCCCGCCATACTTAATAAGAAGCAGCCCTCCACACTGAGTGAGCAGCAGCCGGCCACGTCGAGTGAAACGCAGCCAGCCGCATCGAGTGAAACGCAGCCCGCCGCATCCAGTGCAGACGGAGGGTCGAGGCGCGAGGAAATAGAGCGCAGGCGGGAGGAGTACGAATCAAAGAAGGACATCGCAATTAAGAGCCAGTTCCTAATGAAGAAGTTGGAAAACGAAATGAAATACGACCCGAACCACTACATGTGGAGGGACCTGTACCCACAGCTAGACGACCGAGGAAAGGAGAGAACAGAAAAATATTTTAAAAAATTTCAAAAGGAAATGAGTGAAAATAAATGTAGCCGCGGTTACACAGATAATATAAAAAAAAAGCAACAGTTAAAAGGTTACGACATTGGAGAGAAAATTGAAGGTAGAGCAAAGCATTATGTGTGGCAGGAAACAATTCATTCATTCGTTTTGTATTTTCCACTTCGTTCATACGTCACCAAACAGGATATACACATCGACGTGGACAATACTTTTTTCTTCCTTTCAATATGTGGTCATACCATTGTAAAGGATTTCTTCAACAAGCCAATTAATTCTGCTGACTCCATTTGGTCCCTCACTGATAAGGAAGAAGACGTGGGAGTAGCAAGTATTGTCTGCACGCAAAAGGGACACGAAAAAACAAGTGCAGGTGAATTTCCCCTGCTGGAAATTACCCATATGGATGATTCAGAGATCAACCAAATGATGAAACGGAATTATTGCCTCGTGTATAACATTTACAAGGACAACAATCACAAGTACATGTGGGGCTCCATATTTAAAGCGTCCTGATCTAGAGGCCAAGAATAGCGCAAGTGGCACAGTTGGCTCCAAATACACGACAGCAACCATACACATGAACGTCGTTCCTGCCCCGCTTGGAGACTTCCTAGACACACACATACAACGGCTAAGAATACATTCGACCACTTTCAGTTTTTTTTTTTTTTTTTTTTTTTTTGGGGGAGATTCATTTTGCAGGGCAAATGTGGAGGCGAACTCTTCATAAAAGTTGTTTTTTGTTTTTTTGTCTTTTTTAACTGTACACGCACAGTTACATTTACAGTTGTAGCTATAGTTGCAACCGCGGCGGAGGGGGAGAAGTCAAATTGGAAGTCTGTTCGAACTTGTGTTGTGGCGAATCGGGGGAGGGAGGTGTGACGGGCGATGCGCGCTGCACATACGTACACCCTTACAGGTGCGCCAAATTGGGGTACAAGACCTGGTCGCGCCTAAGCGCCGCTGCTCCCCTCCCCCCCCAGAATGCACGTCGTGCTATAAAAAAAAAAGGTTTCCCCCCGTTTTTCACCCAACAAACAGACACACACACGCAAACACCCCTCTCAGTGGATCCATATGTTTTCATTCGGCTTGTACGTTGGATCGGCCATATAGTAGGAAATGCTAATGTCCTGCAGAAGACTGTTGTGGAGAGAGTCGTCCTCAGATTTCTTTGGAAGGGTACTCAGGCTGAGGTCACTACTGCCTGAATGCTGTTTTGTGCTAATTCCACAGGTGCTTTGACTCGTCTGGTCATATTCGAACTTCTTCATGTCCCGTAGAAACTCAGAATAATATTCATGTGTCTTTTTAATCAACTCTTCGCTCTCCTCTTTGGTGTACAGTTTTTTGGAGATTATATTTAATTTTTTTGTTTCAGCCATTTTGTAGGAGCGGAACCACTCCAGGAGCATGTTCAGTGTGTGCGGGTAGTACTTCTCCACGTCTTCCAGGGACTTCACGTCGTTGAAGTGTTTGTCGTATTTCTACAGGAGGGGAAAATAACAACAGAGCAGTGAGGGGGTAACCGAGCAGTGAGGAAACTACCCAGTAGGGATGACGCGGTTCAGGGTATTCGCGTGCAGCATCTCCTCAGTACGAACATTGATTGCGATGATCTTCCAGTCCAGCTGTCCCTCATCAATGAGGGTGAAAGCCCCGAGGACCTAGCAAAAAAAAAAAAAAGGGGGAGATACGGTGCACGTGAAGGGGGGGTGGCAGCGGACACACGCGCAGGAGTAGACGCGCACATGTCACGTATATCATGTGGGGCCTCCAGCGGAGCCCACCTTGACTGGGACGATCTGCCCCATCTTGAGGCTATTCTGGCCAATGTCCACCACGTCCAGGGGGTCGTCGTCCCCCGTGAAGAACAAGTCCTGGTTGTCCCCAGTCTGGCAGGTGTAAATGTGCTTGGGGTACTCGTACGTGCGCGGAAAGGCGCCATAGTTCCAATAAATGGAGTTGTGGTAATAACGCAGCTTGCCCTTCTTCGTGTCCTGTTTAATAACATTAAAATTCTCTTTCAACTGAATCTCCAATTTTATATAATTGTACTTTGTAATTTCGACCACCATGTTATACGTCCCGTCTTCATTCATCAAATCAATGTCATGCCATGGGGATATCTGAGCAAATTTGTCATTCACTTTTTGGAAATACGAAATGTAAAAACTGTCCTCATTTAGCTTATTGCAATATTTTAACATATATGTCTTGTTGTTAATCGTGAAGATGTTTGTTAAATAATCAAAAAGACTCAAATTTGAAAATATATTGGATATGATGTTGTTATTGTGGAAGTTTAAGTTTACTTGTAGCTCTTTGTTTGTCTCTACTTGGTACTCGTTCTTCATCACCTCCTCTTCCTGCTCCTCCTTATTCTTTGGCATTTCACCATTACTTGGCTTGATCACTGCGCTGCTCATTTTCCTTTTTCTTATGCTTGGGACGCATATGTATTTCTGCGGGGGGCGCGCGTTCAGTGCAGGGGTTATGTAGACAACCGACGGGTATCACACGGTGGGGGTGTATTTATTTGCTTTTCCCCTTTTTCCAGAGTGTAGGGAAATGGGAATATTTTTTTTTTTTTTTTTTTCTGAACTGTTCAGGTGAAAAGATGTAAACGAAAGGGCTGTCTGCGATATAGCTAGCTATTTTGTATTTTTTTTTTTTTTTTTTTT